GGACCCAGTGATGTAGATATTATCCCAAGTTTCACCTTTTATTAACTATCTGATTACTTACATACTGGGGGAGAAAGAAACTTTCCTCTACCCTCAGGGTTCTTCTAGTTGCTCTAATAACAACACAGACATGAGACAGATTAGCAAGAGAAAATAAACATATTTAATACATACATATGGGAACCCTGCACACAGGAGAGTCAGAAACCCCATCTGCAGGAGAGGGAGAGAGACAGAAAGGGAACACGGTAGATAAGACATCCTGAGCTAGGGATAAAGTAAGGTCCCTTGGGGGCTTGAAAAGGGTCACTGCAGGGTGACAAGAGCATGAGGATGGAAATGGGGACACAGGTTAAACCTGACATGCTCAGGAAACTGAAAATGAACGCAAAGGATGGTGTGAACATAAAAATCACTAAGGTGGACGATGGTGGGAAGTCACATCCTTGGCCTGTAGCTTCCTGGACAAAGATCAATCTCTTAAGTGAGCCTGTCTATTGTCTTTTTGCATCTAGTATAACATGCCCTTGGACTGTGAGTAATCCCTTTTTCAGGACCAGAGCAAACTATAGAATCCCTCATTATTATTATTCTTGTCTCCTGATTAACATCTCTAAGTGCTGTAAAAAGTGAACTATTAACTATCCTGTACCCACCTATGTGAAAGAAGTACCTGTCTCTTCAATTTATTTGTATCCAATCCCAAAGGTTTCCTCCGCTTTGCTTTCTCCACCCCCTCAATCTACCACCAATAGATGTCCTGTAATCCCCGTCCTTTGATTCTATGTATAAAGTAAGATGCAAAACTGCCATTTTGCAGAGCATTTTATCAGTCCTCTGCGATTTTGTTTCCCGGAAATTGTCATCCCTTTGGCTCAAATAAACTCTTCAGAGGCTTTCTCTTATGCTGGATGTTTTTTGTGACAAGCATGTTTCATGAATATTTTAACCTAGTCAAACAAGGACGAATGTTGACAGAGACAGAAGAAGGTCAGACAGGGGCAGAAATAGACGGAGAACGTAGGGTGTGGGGTGCTGAGCTGCTGCCAGCCCAGGGTTGCTGACTGTGCGTGGCCTTTGGGTTTGGGGTCTCTTGGGGTGTCCTTGGCTGATTGCACTGTTTTCCCAGGCCTTCCACATATGCCTTTCGGGCCCCCAGAGCCTGAAGTTCCCACACCAGCCCAGCCCTCTGGACCTGAGAGTGACCACAGCCTTGAACAAGACCCCTTCTGCCAGCATAAAGCTGAGGGACTCTACACCAACCCTCTAGACAGGTCCAGCTACCACAGCTGTGCAGCGGGGAGGCTGTTCCAGCAAAGCTGCCACAGGAGCCTGGTGTTGAGCTCTCCCTGCAAATGCTGCACCTGGAGTGGAGTCCCCAAGGCCCCTTGGGCCCCAGCGCTCAGGCCAGAGCCTGGGATCCCACCACAGCCTGCCTCCCCAGCTCTCCCTGGAGACTGCAGTCTGGCCCCTGCAGGCCTCCCTGGGGTCTTTCCACACCCAAGCTTTCTGCTTTCAGATCAGGGTTCCTTTTGATCTGGTCCTCCTGGACTGCCTCTTTTACATGTGTAGACGAAAAACATCCAGTCTAAGAAAAACCTTGTAAGAGTTTATTTGAGCCAAACTGACAACAGTTGCAGGGAAGCAAAGTCTCAACAGGTTGAGAAAATGCTCCAGAAAATGGCTGTTTTGTAACTTAGTTTATACATTAGAATCAAAGGAGGAGGGTTACATGAAATCCACTGGTTGTAGATTAAGGGGGTGGGAGAAAACAGAGCTGGGGTGGGGGGCAGATTTTTGGGATTGAATAAAAAGTAAAATGGTGTGACACACACTTCTTTTACATTGGTGGGTACAGCGTAGTTAATAGCATTTTACAGCACACGGAGATAGTATTTGGGGAACAAGGCAACAATGAGGGATTTTGTAGATTCCTGCTCTGGTGTGGTGGGTTGTGCCCCCTGGGGGATCTGGAAAAAGAAATTACCCTGATATTGCAAGGGTATGTTATCTTAGATGCACAAACGATGACAGACAGGCTTAAGGTAAAGATTGACCTTTGTCAAGGAAGCTACAAGGCCAAGGATGTGACTTCCCGCCATGGCCCATGTTAGTTAAGAATTTTTATGTTCACACCATCCTCTGTGGTTATTTTCAGTCTCCTGAGCTTTCAGGTTTAACATGTGGCCCCTTTTCAATCCACACATGTAAAATAAATCTTTGGTTTGCATCCCACTGCCCCTGGATGTGGTGACTTACAGAGGCTCTCTAAGCACACTCTGAGTTCAAAAACGGCCCTGGGGAATGTAGGGAGGCAAAAGGGGAGGTTGGCAAAAGGCAGCATAGGTAACAGCCAGGCGAGAAGGCAGTTAATGCAGGGTGTGTAAGCCATGTGCCGGGTTTCACCTCCAAGACTCCACATTCCAGCGGGCAGCTTCCAGGGCACAGACGACTGCACCTATGGCACAGCCCTGGGTCTGACAACGTTCTTCATTAGCTCAGAATCCTTTGGAGAATAGAGCTTTCTCAGGTGATCTCCACTCGGGTGTTATTCCCAAGATGCACACGAGATGGCAGCAGAGAGCGCCTCCGTGCCCACCTGCAAAATGAGAACCCAGACAGGTGATACTATTCACTGTGAAATAAATCCTGTTTTAGGCCCTGCACATGTCTCATCTCACCTACTGCTCCTATTTACCCGAGGAGGCAGGGACAATATTATCTCCTTGTCATAGGTATTTAAGCGGAAGACTGATTCTATCACAGTTCTGAGTCCAGAACTGAGGCTTAAATGGGCCCAGGTGGGTTAGAAGAACTCGCATACCAGGAATCTTGAACACATAGAATAATAGCCCTGCAGCATTGGGGTGGATCTTTCTATTTGAAGAAATTCTGCACATAACCTAATGGTCCAGCTTGACATGCACTCACCCAGGCTGGATTTGAAAGCAAAAAGTCCAGACGGCTATTTCAGGCTCTGCCATTCACTGCTGACCTTGGTGACTCCATTTCCTCTGTAGAGCTAAGTTTCCCCAACTGTAAACAATGTGTGTGTCAGGGGTGGGGTGAGGGGGCGACTTGGGCAGCTAAAGGGATGGCACTGTGCTCTGCACAAAGGAGACACTTTTAACATACACCATGCTGCATGTAAGGTAGTGAGCTCCCCATCGCCTCTATTACATTGTGGAGAATGCAAGGGAAGGAAGGAACCTCGAACAGCCAAGCCTCTCGTTTTGCAAGTGTGAGTGTCAGGGCAGCTACTCAGAGTCACAGAGCGATCACAGACATCGGAGCCCGTCTGAGGCCCACGCGTCACACCATCCGCCTGGGTGTCGAGAAAGGATCACCTACAGAGAGCCTGTTGACTCAGACACTGCCTGCCTGCGGCTATGGGCCTGCCGCTAGCTGGGAGCTCCCCAGCCTTACAGTTGTATAGGAACCTGACAGCAAATTGTCACTGTTTGGTAATCACACTTTTCGAGTGCTTCTCTGTTAGCCCCACTTGGCTAAGCTCCCCTCCACAGCCCAGATCCTGTGTTGTGTCACCCTAATGAAGCTCCGTTGAGGGGATGGGCACCTCTGTGCAAATGGCCACCCTTCCAGCACCCTGATTTCCCATCGGTTTCTCAAGGCCTACCAAGGCACCCCTGTTGGCTTGTTGATTCTGGGCGCAGTGTCCAAAGACATGGCAGCAGCTCATCCCAGGACCAGGCAAGACATGGGCAACCAAGTGCCTAGGTGGACAAAACATATCTTGGGCAGGCATGACAGGGACAATGTGCACCCCCGGCTCGCTCACAAGCCGAGACGCCCAGGAACGATCCTTGTAGGCACTGCTGTGGGCACCGCTGCATGCTGTCCGCCTGGGCCTCAGGCAGCTCGTCGCACTTCGCCACGCCCGACGCTCTCCGGCCAGAGGATCACCGTGCTGACCCCCACAGGGCGCCGTGCTGACTTTCCAGGTACCGTGTACCTGCCGGCTTGTATCTGCCTTAGGCTGGAGAAGCCACCTGGAATGTAGAAACCACCTTATCCTAAACGTCACCTTGTCTTGCTTTGTACTTTGTACCTGCTGGCTTGTGTTTGTCTCCTAGGGACTTAGGGTCAGCGGACCGGGCAGTCCAGACGGCAGCCTGGGGGGCCGGATGTGGACCCGGAGGGCCGGTCACGCCCGGAGACCCGGAAAAGGACCCCGAAGCATCGAAGGGAGAGCAGCCTCCTTCACCCCGTCCTACAAAACTCCACACCCATTGTTGCTCGGGGAGGTTACGGTGTTTTCTAGCCTGACCTCCGGTAGCCCAAACGCGCCCAATAAATTCTAACAGCCCCACTCTGGCTTCCGGAGACTCGCTGCTTCGGCCGTGACTCGATGGTGACTCTTCTCCCCGACCGACAACCCGCCGAGGCCCGGCCGCTCTGCTTGTCCCCGAGTTGACGCATCTGCTCAGGGGCGGGGCCGGGACCCCGTCCGGGCAGTGACAGCAGAGCCCCGTCCTGGACAGCGAGGCCACAGCGCCAGCTCCACAGACGGGGAAGCTGAGGCCCGGGGCGCGGCGGAATCGCGGCCACGAGGGTGGCGCCCCTCCTCCTCTTGGGTCGCGGGCTGCCACCGCGGGCAGCACACGCGGGGCCACACGCAGAAACCCGGGTCCATAAAGCGCCCGGAGAGGCGACCGAAGCGCCTAAACCCGGACCTGAGGAACGAACCGCGCGGCACCATGGCAACGGCGCGGACGGAAGTGCGTCATCGGCGGGCGGGACGACCCCGCGCGGCCGCCGAAGGGAGCGTCGCGCGCTCCGCCCCGAGGGAGGCGCCGAGCCCGCGTTTCGCCGACGGCGCGGGCCTGCGGGCGGTTGTCGGGCGCCGTGGAGGGTAAAGCGGACGCGGGGCCGCGGGGCGCGCGGGGCGGGAGGCCGGAGGGCGGGGCGGGCCGAGGCCCGGGCGGCCGGGGGCCTCTCGCTTCCGGCCGGGGAAACAGGCCCGGAGGCGGATGCCGGAAGCTCGTCCCTTTCGCGCACACACATAATATTAGATGAGAACATACTTTTTATCATAATAGTAGGTGACAAAGCAAAACACCACATACATCTGAACCGAGTGCGTGCAGGAGGCCTCCGCCGCGGTCGCCGTCCCTGCGCCCCCGTTTCGTGTTGCAGGAGCCTGGCCGCGAGCGAGCCGCGTTTCGGGGTCTCCGGGGCGACGGGGCCTGTGCTGTGCGGCGGCCTCGCCTCCGGCGGCGGGTCGTGCCGAACGGACACAGGCGTGTCTCCGCCGGAAGGGAGACGGAACAGCCATAAACAGCTCAGTTTCCAAACTTAAAAGGTTTGGTGTTGAGACCTGTTCAGACGCGAGAAGCGCAGGCTGGGAGCCGGGCGCACAGTGTTTCTCGGTGGCGGCGGCGGCGCCAGACAGCCCGAGCCGCACGTTTGTACCGTCGCCCCGGGCCCCTCGCCGTGTGTCCCCTCGTGCCCGCACCTGTAGGATGAGTCAGTGGTGCCTTTCCCGGACGGTTCTGGTGAGGAGTCAATGAGACGGTGCCCAGGAAACACAGTCGGGCACGTGGCTGTGACTGGGGTCTGCTCGTGCCACGCACGTTCCTGTTGCAGGGTCACTTGGGGGAGGCGGTGCGTGTCCGTGGCTGACCTCCCGACCCAGCCCCTCCCGGGGAGCCCGCCGACCTCTGGGAAAAACCAGCCTGCCTTTCACCCCGTTGCCCCCCTTCCCCAGATGACAGTTTTCTATACCGTCCTATGCTTCATTCTTCTTATTAACATTTTGTCTGTCTCTTATCATGTTTACATAATTTCCTTCTCGTTTTAAGATACGGGACATACCTGTAAAACTGTGTGAAAATGTGAGTTTGAAGAATGATGATAAAATGAGCACTTACACACCCACCATCGTGTTAGAGCATTTCCACACCCTCAAAGCCCCCCTTGAGCCCCTGCTGCTCTGAGTATGTGTTCTCCACTCTGCTGTTTTCTTTATAGTTTTTACTGTCGATGTATCTCTAATGAATGCAGTGCGTGGTTTGCTAGGTTTTGAATTTTATATAAATGGGACCCTAACATCTTTGGTGTGACTCGATTTTTGCACATAAAACCGTGTCTATTAGATGCATCCATGTCGATGTGAGTCGCTCTACTTCATCTTCAGTGCTATGAATTCCATGGTCTGTTTAGACACACTTTATATTATATAGGCATTCTTCAATTGATCTTCATTTATACTTTTGCCAGATTTTTGTTGCCACATGGTGCTTTTATAAGCATATTTCCTGGGGCAAATTTGGAAACGTTTCTGTAAGGAACATACCTAATAGTGGATTTGTGAGGATATCCAGATTAGCTAGCAATGTCAACTTGTCTGGGTTATAAGGGTTCACACTCTAGTGGCAGTGGGTGAAAGTCTCAGCCTCCGCCATTCTAAGGATTTTTGCATATCTGGTGGTGTTGAAGACATTAATCACTGAGGTTTTAATACTCATTTGCCTGGTGATATGGAGGTTGAGCATCTTTTCACATATTTACTAATTGTGCATTTTATCAAATTTCTGAGTACAGTTGTCTTCCCCTTTTATACCTTTTATAGGAGCTCTTTATATATGTTCTGAATGTGAATCTCTTGTGGTTTAAATGTGTTTCAGATACCTTCCAGTTTGTAGCTTTTCTCTTTCTCTTTCACACTATCTGGTGTTTTGGTGAACAGAGGTCTTTAATTTTAACAAGGTTGAAAAAAAAGGCAAAATATTTATATGATCTGAAGAGAAACCAGAGTTCAACAAGGTTAAAGATATCAGTATATTCCTTTACGGTTTGTACTTTTTGTATTGTTTTTTAAAGAAATACAAACTGTATGACCTTTGGGTTATACAGTTATTCTCATATATTGTTGTCCAAAAGTTTCATAGTCTTTCCTTCCTTAGGACCTTCCTCCTTAAGAATAGAATTTTGTGCATGCTATGAGGTAAGGTTCTAGTTTTTTCCCCACATGTGGATAACCAGCTGTTATCAGCTCTGATCTTTGTGGTTTGTGGGAAGGTAGTGTTTTAGTAGAGAACAAGAGACATAAAAATGCCCTGCAGTAGTCCTACCACGACACTTCTTTCATTAGTGATTTGGCAGAGGAGAAGGAAGCTAACGTTTATCAAGTGTTTACTAGCAGTTCTCTAAGCAGTGAATGTTACTCTAATTTTTTTGTGAGAAAATGGAGCCTCAGCTAAATTTATCCAAGGCCATAGATCTGGTAAGTGGCTGAGCCAACTTTCAGACCCAGAACCATCTAACAGTAAAAATAGCTAACACTTATGTAGGGCTTAGTCTGTTGCCAGGCTTTTACAAGTATTAACTCATTTTATCCTCGTAGTATTTTTTTGGAGGACTTTTCTATCGTTGTTCTTCACTTACAGCTTAGACACTGAAGCACGTGGAGGTCAGTTTCACAGCTGAGAGGAGCAGCAGGCTGTGAGCACAGGCGTCTGTCTAGCTGCAGAGCCCACACTTCTCACCACTGCCCAGGACTTACTGGCCTAGGCCCTGGCTTGTGTCCTTTTTGTTTTTGTACTACTCAGCATGATGACCTGGATTTTAAAAAACTATAACAAGTTTATGTTTGTTCATGCTTCGCTGCGCTCGGAAGTCAGGATTTCATTTACTTCTTTTTCAGTCCCTGCACCATGCAGGGCGGTACGAGAAGAGTAGGCACCATGACTGATGTCCACAGGAGATTCCTGCAGCTGCTGATGACTCATGGTGTGCTGGAGGAGGGGGATGTCAAGCGCTTGCAGAAGCACTGCTACAAGGTCCATGACTGTAAGTATTGTTTTCCTGGTCCCAGCATGCTCTGGGACCATGATCAGGGAACAGTGACGTTGGTAATGCTATGTAACCAGTCAGCCCATACGATTGACCTGGGTATTCAGTCTCTCACATCTCCCACCAGCCCATCTTTCTCATTTCACCTTCACCTTTTTGTTGTAAAGCAAATCTTCCACTTATCACAGTGGTGAGAGCTTGGCCTCTGAAGCTGTAGAGTCATGGTTCACAGCAGGCCTCCAGCACCTTCTCCAGTATGAGATTTTCACCTCTAAAATGAGGGTAATCAATCGTACTTCACACATAGGGTGGTTCAGAGACCTAAGAGACATGGTACACACACAACACCCAGCACAGGGAACGTGCTCACTGGGCTAACAGTGTTCAGAGGGCATAGCCTGGGCCTCCGCCAAACCCGGAAGTGCCATGCCTGCTCTGTGCCAGCTGTGGCCATTTGGAGCGTCATGTTAATGGGTTGTTGGGACCGTAAATAAGATAATACACATGAAGCGCTGGAGACAGGACCTGGTGCAGTCTAAGTTTTCAGCTTTGGAGGTAGCAGCGAGGCAGTAGGATCAGTGGTGATAGATCGGTAAAATCAATATTGGTCGGTCTTGTTGAGTGAAAAAGACAGTTGATAGATTAATACGTCTATGTTGTCATTGTGTTGTCTTTTGTAAAACTTAATGATTTTTCTGTCCATGAATATTTCTGCATGTAGAAATTCTACAGTGGAGTGGAAGGAGATATAACGTAGGTGCTTGCCTTTGAGGAGATGAGAAGTGGCATAGATTTGTCACTGGAAATCGAAGAACACTTCATCTTTATCCTATGTTGTTCCTTTAATGAAAAAAGACTTGCAGCAAACACGGCATTAGTAGGGTGTCTCATAACCGTCCCTGCTGGTGAATGGGGTCTGTGGTTAGAGCCTCTGTATGTTGAGGAGCACAGCAGGACTTGAAACCTGGACCTCAGGATTATCCGGTGCTGGACACACACAGGCTTTCTGAACGTGTCCTCTACATAACACTTCACTGTGTCTTCCTTCTAGTGTCTCACGTGGGTCCTGGACGTGAGCGTTAGTGTTGCTGGCTAAGTGTCATAGCTCACTCCAAATAGCCATATGAGCTTACTACTAAGATTGAAAGTGCTTTTGCCTTTATTTGACCTTTAAAGTTGTTATGATTGAATTTGGGAAAGTCCATAATAGATTGTGTGCAATGTGTCTAGGAATTGATTTACTCTCACACTGTATATACCATTTCCGCACATCAAGCAAGGTATGTTTATGGCTAGGGTAATCTGGATAGAACTATAGTTTGATTTCACCTATCTTTCATTAAAAAAAAAAAGTTCGCAATCATTATTGTAACTTGAGAGAGCTTAAATAAGAATGATGGGAAGATATCAATATCCTCTGAAGCCTCAGGAAAGGTAGGGGAAATTTCACAGGATATTAGGATGGTAACATTTGGCAACTACACAGGCATAGATCAGGAAATGAAATACTGACCATTTAGAGTAGGGAGTGGAATAGAAAGAAAGAATGGAGTTCACATTCTAATTATTTTTCACTTGCTTCCCTTTGATAACAAATTCAGTTTTCCAAAAACCCGTCATAATCTCCGTATTTTTTATCTCTGAGGCACAACATGCTTTACTCGTTTTTTTTCTTTTAAGTTAATCCAGACTCTTGTTGCTTTTCGTCTTTCATATGAGCTGTTTATTACTCTCTGTTCAAAATTTACATTTAGAGTGTGAATTTTACATTTTATTTATACAAATTGTCTTCTCTTTATTCTCTCTATAAAGTAGCAATCCAATTCTCTATGTTAGAATGTAGTAATTAAGAATGTGTGGTTGTTCAAATATCGGCTCTGCCACTCATTAACTTTGTGGTTCTGATTGACTATAAGCCTCTACCAGAGTGGTTATGTAAGGATTAAGTATAAAATTTTCATAAGGCACTTAACATAGCTCTTACAACACAATAGAGTAGCCATTAATATTTATATTGGGTTGTTCATCCTTAATATTCATCCCAATACGCCTTAAATAAGACTTAGAATTAAGAAAAAAAAAAAGAATGATGAAAATTACCTAAAATTTAGTAAATACTTAAAAACCCAATGTTATTAAGCTCCTATCTTTTGAAGTGATGCCTAGGAGAGGCCACTTATACTAACTAAAAACATATGTAGCTTCTAAGAATTATGACACAAAGGAGTACTTTGTTACTCTAGTAATAGTTTCCTATGGGGTTTGTCCAGTTTCTCAAAGCACTTTGTGTTCTGGGCCTTTGCTTTGGGTTCTTTTCTTATCGTCACTGGGGGAAAACGAGTTCTCCAAAGCTGCTGGCTAGTGAGTTCCGATTTTGTTCTGATGCCCTGGTGTAAAGCCTTGTGTCTGGCCTTCTCAATGGCACTGGGCCCTGTCGGGTCCTGAGCCAGGCTGCGTACATGCAAGCCCAGCACAGCTTCCCGACACAAGATGGGGTCCAGGCCTCTGCTGGGACTGGTGGCACAGGTGAGACTTTTCTTCACCTTGGGTCTCGTGCATCATACAGATTCAAATGATTCCAGTAGAAACCCCAGAGGGAAGTAGGTCCAGGAGACCTAGGGGCTGGTGTTCGAAGACTTGGATTTGAGGGTTTCCACTTTTAACCGAGTTAGTAGCAGGGACCAATTTATCTTCCTGTCTGAAGTAATTTAAAAATGGACAGAATATATGAAACACTAGACATTAGTCAATGAAGGACAGTGATCTCATGAGAAAAAGGCGGTGAGGGTTTTTCTTTCTTGCCATCAAATACATGCTGTCTTTTCTAAGACCACCCTCCAGTTCTGGACACCAGCTGGGTGTCCAGTAACACCATTCAGTGCCGACACTGTCTGCCTGGGTTCGCATCAGCCCACAAGGTAAGGGCTCAGTCCCACTTCAGGTGCCAGTCACAAGCCCTGGGCCTCCCAGACTTCTCCTGGGACCCCAGCCCCAGGTTAAGTAAGTTGCTGGAATGTTTCACAGAGCCCAGGAAAACACTGCTTACATTTGTGGCTCATTATACAGGGTACAGCTCAGGAACAGCCAGATGGCAGAGATGGGGGTGGGCAGGGGCTAGGGGCAGCGGGGGGCCGTGGAGCTTTTCTGCCCTTTTGGGTGCTCCACTCCCAGCACTTTGGTGTGTTCACCTTCCCAGAACACCCAAGGCTCCCAGCACTGGGTGCCTCGCAGGCAGAAAAGGGCTCCGGCAGGCCCACATGCCGCGAAGAGAGGTTTGCGTGGCATGGCGGAGGAAGAAGGTGCGAAAGCACAGAGGCTTCCCTGGGGAAGGTGCTATCTGAGTCCATAACCAGTAGGCAGAGGGAGTAGTGAAAAGGAGGGAGGCATTTCAGAAAGGAAGACAGGGTGGCAGGGGACGGGGTGTCTCACTCCTCGGATCACGGTTCTTCAGCAGTTGTGGCTCGATTTCATGGTCACAGGTCGCAATTATTGTCTCCTTTACGTGGCCTACATGGCAGTGCCGTTCACCGTCGCCAGCATGATCTTCTGTTCTTTTTTTTAAAAGATTTTTATTGGGGGAATTGGGGAATGGGAACAGTGCTGGGGAATTGGGGGAAGGGGAACAGACAAGTTGCTGTCGTTTTGTTCTTCAGTCTAGTTGTGGAGGATGTTGCTTCACTGGCCCAAATTGGCACCATCATTGCGCTCTTCTCGGGCGAGGCAGATCAGTCGCCGGCTTCTGGATGGCTGCTCACGGCGGCTGCTGGCCACTCACGCTGGTTGCTGGCTACACACGGTAGCCCATGGCAACCCACTGCCACAGGGGCTGCAGCCTACGCTGTTGCCGGCGACTCAGGGCAGCCCAGCTCCAGGTTGAGCTGTTGTTCAGCATCTTAGCTGTAGAGGGCAGTGTCACTGGCCCTCATATGTGGGATCCGAACCGGGGCCCTCTGGCGTCCCAAGCCAGTTCTTAACCATCGTGCCACTCGGCCGGCCCATCTTCTATTCTTTAAACTTTAATAATCTACGTATTCCAGGAGCTTAGAAATACCTTTCTCTGTAAAAAGTCAAACACACAGAGTTCAGGTGCCCTGGGGTGACCCCCTTGGTTATCAGCTTGGTGAGTTACCTGCCAGGCTTCTTTGCTGCAGTGTTGCTTCATTGGTTTTATTACTGTTTTTAACATAAATGGTATATTTCTGGTTTTCTGCTGTTATTTTTTCCTCAGAGTGGTTTTCTAGCCACAAATCTTTGAAACTAAAAAAGCATCACAATACAAAAGGTACCAAGACAAAAGGTGACCCTGACCCTCTGCTTCCAACTCTGAGAGGCTCCCCACGGCCCACGGGAGGGAGGTCACACCCTCCCCTGCCCCAGGGCCTTGTGTCCTCTGCTCCTGCTTCTCCTACAGCCTCTTGGGCCCTCCTGGCCTTCCCCTGTTCCCCAGCTCATTGGCCGTCCACTCACTCACCCCAGCCCCTGCAGTGCTGGGTTGGGCGGCCCTATTCCGGCTCTGAGGGACCGATCGCCCTGTCAGTGGTGGCAGCATCCCCTGTGGTCTCAGCCGTGCGCCTCCTGTTGTCAGGGGCAGCGAGCGGGCAGGTAGCGCACAGATTGCACAGCGGCTGCTGCCGTGCTGTGGAGCGCCCGCAGCCCATGGACTGGCTGGTGCCTGCCCCCCCAGGGCAGTGTGAGGTGCTGGGGACTGCTCAGTGGGACCTGCCGTCCGTACCCATGGTTGCTGGTCTTTGGTATTGCACCCTGGGCCCAGCACCCTGGTGTCCAGGGAGCACCTGATGTAGGTAATGGGAGGAGGGAAAGGAGACACACCTGCAGGGACAGACAGGCCTGCGTGGGAGCTGGGACGAGGTTGAGGGACTGGCTGTGATGATCGTCAGCGGGAGCTCCCCGCAAGTTCCCAGGCAGGGCCTGACAGGGGAGCAGGCTGGGGCCGCATGCAGGGAGAGCGACACCACGGGGGGGCTCAGATGCCACTTCCTGGGGCCTCTCTGCCTAACAGCACCCTCGTGTCTGGGTATTCCAGGGAGAAAGAAGCTATGGGAGAAAGAAACTACAGGCTCTGCTCAGGCTGCTGGACTGAAGCCAGCTCCAGCGTGTGACCAAGTCGTCCCCCTGTGTATTTCTAGGCAATGCTCCGGTGGAGAAGCTGGAAGACTTCATCAACAACATTAACAGTGTCTTGGAATCCTTGTACATTGAGATAAAGAAAGGAGTCACCGAAGATGACGGGAGACCCATTTATGCGCTGGTAAGTCCCAGACAGCCCTCCGGTGACATTTGTGAGGAACAGGGACTGGGACAAGGGCTCTGAAGTCAGGACAGACACCCAGCCAGGCCCGCCATGACCCATCCCGCGTCCTGCACTCCCCACGGCCTCTGGCCTGCAGTCTGGTGACCTCTGCCCTTACCAGGTCAGGCGACCAGAACCTACGCCTGGACTCTGGCCCTCAGTGCTGATTCACTGCCCCACAGAGCCCCCGCCCAGGCATGGCAGCATGCACTTGGCTTTGTTTTGATGACAGTTCTCTACAGATGTGCAATATTAGGATCCAAGGGGTGAAATGCTTTTCATTTTGAACAAGACACAGAGCTGTGGAAAGAAGATGTGGAGACACACTTGGGGCCTCCTGTTGTTTTCAGACCCTCCCTCCCAGGGATGGAGGAGACACAGGTGGGAAAAGCTGACAAGACCCATCCTTGGCTGGAGAGCTGCCTTAGGCCGATCAGAGCAGCTTCTACCAGCCAGGCCCACACAGAGGGGCTCTAGCACAGGGTTCCCAAACTGTGTTTTGGGGAAAAAGGACTGTGGGGTTAACTCACTACAGAGGTGCTGGCTTACACAGGCCAACCTGGGTTCTTCCCTGCGAGACTTCCTAGTGTTTTGTGCATTTGAAGCTCCGTCAGTGTGCACACAGGTTTCCCAGATTTATCTGAGTTTGGAAAATACCACACAACTTTAGGAGTTCTCAAAACTGTGAGAATTAGATGTGTTGACTCAACTAAAGATTTAAGTCTGTAACATAAGACTGGTCACAAAGGCACCCCTGCAGCCCACAGTGCCGAAACAGGTGCTCAGGGATGGGCAGGCGGGCGGGAGGGGACGCCAGCAGGCGAAGAAACTGACCGGGAGGCCCAGCCTGACCGAGGGCCATGATGACGTGTTTTTCAGGTGAATCTAGCAACGACTCCCATTTCCAAAATGGCTTCAGACTTTGCAGAGAACGAGCTGGACCTATTTAGAAAGGCTGTAAGTACGGAAACCCATCAGTGAGTTTTCTATGGGAGACTTTTGTCTTCATCATTAGAAATGAGAACTGCAGGCTTCCAGGGTCACCGTTGCTGCCCGAGAAAGCCCCATGCAGGGGAACGTTGCCGAGCACCTCACCTGGAACTCGAGCCACCCTGCAGTGGGTGTGGAGGGTGCAGCGTCTGCCTGGGGAGGAGGGACTGGGCCAGGTCCGATCCCTGACTGCGTGAGCAGCGGGTCTCTTAGGCATGTGGTGCAGTGCACTATGGGATGGCAGCAGGAGCGTCACCTGGGAGCTTGCAAGAGAGGCCGCGTGCCTTACCCAGCCAGGCTCTTGAATCCGAGTCTGGGCTTCAGCAGGTGCCCACTGCTCTGTTAGCACGTTTACTGTGCCCACCTGGCTTCGGAGCTATTGGCTCAGCCCTCAGCCACCGACCTGGCTGACACCTGGTAGGACGGTGGTGCTCAGCCTGGATGCTCCGCGCAGGTGACAGTACTTCCGCCGCTCGGCTTCAGAGGCCATTGCTTTCTAAGGCTCCCTGGGGACAGTGTTACAGGAGTGGCTGCTGAGTCAGGCCTTTGGCCTTTGTCACATGATTATGTTGTCTTCCTGAAGGGTCCTACAGTGCACAGTTGTGCCTGTGACGTGGCAAGGGTCTCCCCCACCTGCCGCCAGGATTGGTATCATTGCTCAAAGCGTGTGTTTGCCGTAGAGTAGACAAACGTGATGCTGTTTCTTGCAGTTGGAACTGATCATCGACTCAGAAACTGGCTTTGCCTCTTCCACCAATATTTTGAACCTGGTTGACCAACTGAAAGGCAAGAAGATGAGGAAGAAGGAAGCTGAGCACGTGCTGCAGAAGTTTGTCCAAAACAAGTGGCTGATTGAGGTATTTTCTTGTACTCTCCCCAGCTCGGCTCATTTTCAGAATGAGCAGCACTGTTTTCAAAGCCATATCGTGTCCAGCTGATGTCTGCTGAGCCTTTTGGGTCCCTTTTCTGCGTTGATGCCCACGGTGTTCCCGTGAGGAGGATTTGGAGCCTCCTGTTGTCACATGGGGTGTCCGGTGGTGGCCCAGGGTTGCACCAATTTTGTGGGCCATGGATCTGAGCCCCGGTCCATAGGCCGCGAGGCTGTGCAGCGCAGTGGTGCACAGCACACCCCCAGCGTCAGACCTGGGCCTGAGTCGTGGTCCAGTGACCTTGAGTCTACGGTAGGGAAGGAGTGCCCACCTCGGGATGAAGAGTGGGGCGAGTGGTGTGTGTCAAGTGCCTGGAACTGGGATCCTGGAGGAATTGCCTTAGTTGTCGTGGTTATTGCTGTCACCATGAGGGCACAGACAAGCTTTTAGAGAGGAATGTGGAAACCCGTGCAAGGATGCAGGTTTCTAGTTGGCCCATGGCTTCTACTGACTGGGGCAGGACAGATGTTCCAATCTGTTCCACAGAAGACACCCAGTTTCTGGGCTCAGGTCCTGTCCACATATCCATGGTGCTGCCCCCCGAATGCCCGAGTCTGCAGGACGTGTTCAGGTCGGGGCCTTGACTTCCCCAAGCAGACCGGCCCGGGACTGCTGCTTGTGGGCGACGCGCTCTCCATTTCCTTTGCGGGGAGAGCGTGTGTCTGGTTGTCATATTCAGTGCTCTGAGTTATTGATCTCTAAGGAGATGGGTTGGCCCTGGCAGTCAGACCAGAAGTGGTCACTTCCTGAGGTACTTCCTGCTAGGAGGAAGATGGTGGAGAGGTCACAGATGGTGGGAGCTCCCCATGAGTGCCAGGGTCTCTGGGCGCATTGGTGCACGTCACAGCCTTGGGTCCTCCCAGCAGCCCTGTGACAGAGGAGAGCCCTTAGCTCTGTTATCAGCTGAACAAACCTCAGCTCCGCGGTCTGGGCGATGCCCCACACCAGCAAGTGGCAGGCCATGTTCAGGCCTGTCGGTGTCAGTGACTGCAACTCCTACCCATCGCTTTGTCACTGCTCTGCTTCCTCCCTGAGGTGGATCTGGCAACATTGGAACATTCTTGGGCAGCTTTGACTAGGATTGACCACACTCTGTCCTCAGACCACCAGTTCCTCACAGTGTACCTTGTCGCACCTGTGGGCATTCGGTGAACACTGAACGAGTTACTGGGCAGGTGGGTGCAGCTCCAGAGGGACAGAATTCATTTAAAAGTTACAAAAAATGCTACAAGAAATACTGATTTTCATAAAGAAACACATTGAATCCCCCATTACCTCAGCCGCAAGAGCTAGGACAGCCCTGTACCCTGCTCCGGGCCGTGAGTCACCACGCGTGTGCAGCCCTCGCTGGCAGGAGTGTGTAATGGTTGTGCTGATGTGTGCCCACCTTTATTGGCAAACTGGCCCCGTGTCCCAGCCCTTGGCTGCCCAGAGAGGCTGGGTGACGGGGTGAGGACGCGCCTCTGCGGCCTACTGAACTTGAGCTATGGGCCCAGGCTCCTGTCCTCTCTGCTCCTGGGTTTTCTTTCACGTCTTTGTCCAAGTCCCCTGCTGGAGGCTCTCCAAGGGGCCAGCTGGCACACTTGCTGGCTGGGGCTGCCAGGCCACTGCACCCATCTGGGCCTTGGGCTGTGGTACTGCAGAGGGGATGGTACCGAGCAGGGAAGGGCATGGCGTGATGGCGGCCATAGCTTGCAGCCTCCACTGTATCCCTACAGAAGGAGGGGGACTTCACCCTGCATAGCCGGGCCATCCTGGAGATGGAGCAGTACATCCGGGAGACACACCCTGAGGCCATGAAGATCTGCAACATATGCCACAGCCTCCTCATCCAGGTACCGTGTGATCCTGCCCTGCTGCAGCCTGGGCCCCCCAGTGCAGCGCCCCCCTCACCGCCCTGCTGCAGCCCCGGGCTGTCCCTGCTTCTTTGGCAGCTGTGTGCCGGCCACTGTGGCTGTTGTGGGCATTCAGTTTCCTTCTCTTTAACACTTGTCTGTCCTGACTGCTCTCCATCCGATCCGCACCTATAGCCATGGTGCCTGGTGACCCTTCCTTTGGCTGAGTTCCTGGGACAAACCATGGGTTTTCAGGCTTTGGGCCCATGCCGCCTGGGTGCATTCTGGAAGTTGTGGCCCTCCTCTTGCCAGCCCGTTTCGGGGTGGTCTTGCCACTTTGCTGGGCCCGGCCAGTCACCACTGCCGTGCTCTGGCATTGAGTCTTGAGCTCCATCCCCCCGCATTCATTTGTCAGAGTTCTTTGTAAAAGCTGCACTAAGGCCTTGGGGTCATTTTCATTGTTAATGTGGGGCCTGGAAGACAAACCTACACAGCCTGCCGGACAGGTCCAGACGGCTGAGTGCTTCTCTTGTTCCAGGGTCAAAGCTGTGACACCTGTGGCATCAGGATGCACTTGCCTTGCGTGGCCAAGTACTTCCAGGCGAGTTCGGAGCCGCGCTGTCCCAACTGTAATGACTACTGGCCCCACGAGATACCAGGTTGGTGACCCCAAGGCGCTCGCTGGTGCTCCTGGCCTGTGGGCGGAGCCAGTTGGCAGGACTGAGCACAGCACCTGAGCCCCACGTGCCCAAGGCGTCTGTGCTGGGTGGGACATGGGGTCCACCAGGGTTTTTTCCTCGCCACTCTCAGGGCCATGTAGGCCCTGTCCACGGCTCCCTCAGGTTGGGCCCCTCCTTTCCTTGCAGGCTGGGGACAAGGGTCAGTGAGGAGTTGGGGACATAGGACGGGGTCCTTGACAATGGAAAGCAGCTATGGCATAAGCTGTGGTCAGTGCAGCCAGCCCTGCCATTCAGTGTTCCTGGTCTCTTCTGTGTGCAGAAGTCTTTGACCCTGAGAAGCACCGGGAGGCTGCCATCTCTAGGCCGAGCAAAAAGCCATCGCGGTCCAGGCAGCACTAGCTGGCGCTACCACAGTCCGTGTGGAAGATAGGCATCCGCGTCCATGTCTCAGGAAGCACCGCCTTACTAGTAGGTCAAAATAAAACTCACTGAGGACTCTCTGCAGCCCGTCTGTGCCCTGCATCGTCTGTCCTGTGCCATCTATCCTGCGCCATCTGTGCCATGCACTGTCCCATGCGATCAGTCCTGCGCTATTGTGTCCCGAGCTTATCTGAGTAGGGTTCACATCGTGGATGTTTCCCCCTTTCCTGGAGCACACTCGTCACGGGGAACCGTTGGGTCCGGTCCTAGCAGGCAAAGGTGCCAGAGCTCCTGTACCTTGCCCTTGAAGGGCGGCTCACTGGCCTTGCCCTTCAGCTCTAGCCTTGGTCACTTGTCCCACCAGCAATGGCCAGCCGGACCTGACTTGTGCAAGCCTTGGCCTTGACCTCCGTAACTTCCCACGGTCTCAACTCTTTTCTGACTCATGATTCAACTGGCCTGAGTGGGCATGCGGCCGGCAGGACGGGCTAGCGGTACTGGGCCTCCTGTCCCCGTTTGGTCAAGGGCAGCCCTGCCCACCAGTGGCCCCAGCCAGGAGTCGGCCCACATGCCTCTTCCTTACTGGCCACCTTCATCGTCACACCTGTGTGGCACGCCCGACAGATGGCCCTCAGCCCCACTGCTGCTGCCCTGGGCCTGGCCCCTCCCCTGCACCAACTCCAAACTGCCCAGATGTCCAGGCTTTTCCAACAGTGACCTTCCCACGATGTTGGTCAGCCTGGTATGCCGCTGCTGGTGGGCACACGAGTTATGAGGCCACAGCGCATCTCAGGGCCTGTCCCTTCCCCACTTGTCAGCGGTGCAGCCTTCTTCCAATCCAGTCACTCGCTGTCCCCCTACTCCCCACTCTTTAATACCTGTAGCTCCCAGTCCCCGTCTCCCTAGACTTCCTGAGTCACACTCTTGCCAGTTGTAATTCCTTGTCCTTCCACCCCAGTATCAGCTGTGACAGAAAAGCCAACTTCAATTGGCTAGAACAAGGAAGGACTTAGCCAGAGGGGGTCCTTCAGGAAAGGCTTGACCTGGTGGTTCCATGTATCTGTCTCTGCTCAGGGCCAATAGGGTGGTTTCTCCCAGGACATCCAGCCTCTCCTGCCTGGCGGCGACGTGGCCACCCAAACCCGCCCTGTGTTCCCTTAGCAGCTTCCAATCTGGATGCTGGCGGGCAACAGGATGGGACAGTCCCAGGGGTGTTGGCACATGGCTGAGAGTGAGGCAGGAACTCTCCCCGAGCAATGGACGGTGGTACCATGGTGGGAGTAAACTGCAGATGCGGGCATCGAGGTCAAAGCTGACCTGCTGGGCCACCGCCCCCCCCCCCCACCTCCCCTGGCAGGAGGCCAAGCTGCACGAGGGGAAAGAAGGAACCATGGCCACAACAGCAGGGTGACAGGGCCGGAGGGAAGCCTGAGGTCCCCTGTAGCACCTCTCACGGTGGAGCCCATGGGTCTGCCTGGTTCTGTGCTTACGTCAGTCTGAGCTGGGCACCCTGGACTCATCCTGTGCCACTTACTGTTCCACCCTGGGACTGTTCCCTCTGCCTCCAGGCCCACTCTCCTTTGCCTGGTCAGTTCCTGTGTCCTTCCAGACCCTGCTCCTCAGTGACCATCTCAAAACTCCTGCCAGCTGCCAGAACGGTGAATGCCCCCTGCCTCAGATTGCCTGCTCCCTGGGACATGCTGTTGTCACAGCAGTCTTGTGGGACGCACACTGTCTCCAGGCAGTGTCAGAATTGTAAATTGTAGGTCACCCAGCCGATGTCACACAATTGGTGTGGACACCCCCGTCCCCCACACATTTGGTGACCAGAAGTGCCACTGGCATTCATAGACTACTGTGTGTAGTAAAGAGAGAAACTTTTTTGAGGTTTATTAGCTTTTAAAATCTCCTTTACGATTGGCCTGAAACAGGTTGTGCTTGACCTCCTGGTCACTGGTGTGATGAGCGTTGTCAGACAGAGACAACGCTGCAGAAATGTTACTGGGCTGACTGTCCCAGGGGGCAAGGCCGGGGCTGTTGAGGTGCCAGCTTTTGGGACACGCCCATCTCCAGTCTGGGGAGAGTCTTAATGGTCAAACACAAACAAAAGAAACACTATGGAAAGGCCGAAGCCTGGGCCTCTCTCAGGAGAGCAGTGACCAGGGAGGGGGGGGGTTTCTGCTTTGGGAACAAGCTGAGAAGATGCACACAACCCTGTGCCGGCAGGATACACCTCAGCAAGGACCACAGAAACCTTCCCAGCAGAGGTCTGAGCTGTCCAGCAGCCGTTAGGGACCCTCCTGTGACCACGGCCACGCCCGTCTCTCTCCAGAGATGGCACTGTGGCCGTGACAAATATATGTGACAATCACAGTGGTTAAGATAGTGACATTGCCCAAGCTCTTGAACCCTCTGTGGTGACACAACCCCAGAGCCCAGGTTGCTGCCGGTTCCCCAGCACTGCAGGCCACAGGACGCCTAGGGCTGGGTGCCGGGGACGGGGCGCTGGCTATGACCACCAGAAGCTGACAGAGAAGCTCAAATCCAGGGCGCGCACATAGTGCCAGCACTTAGCCGGGATGAAGAGGACCTCTCCAGGACACAGCACGCAGGACAGGAATGGGGCCTCAGCAAACCTAGGGAACCGCTCCAAGTCAGGGTTCTCCACGTCAACCTGCAGAGGGCAGAGGGGTCACCTGTCCAGTCTCCATACGGACACGGGTGGGGTGGGAGGGAAGCCATGATGCCACACCAGGTCCTGCCTGCCCACCTGGCTCGTGTTGTGCAGAAGGTGCGTGCTGTGAGGGTATAAGGCGTCTGACTCGCGCGGGGAGTACAGCCGGATGTACTTCCTCCCGATCACCTGGGAAAACAGCGACCTTGTCGGTCAGTTAGTTGGTGGGCTGGTGGCCTCACTGCCCATGCCACCCCCCCACATGCTATTCCACATGCTGTGCACTGCGCCCCATTAGCCTATCACCACCACACACATTTGGGGTGCTCCCTCCAGACACAAGTCCATAAATTTGCTCCTGTAGCCAACAGCAATTAGCACTTCCCATGACCAGAGACCAGGCAGCCACCCTCAGAGGTGGTTTGTCATCACCCCTGTGACAGGCAAGGACATGGATTGCCCGGGTTCACAAAGCTGACAGGTGACAGAGCCGGTGTCCACTCGGGCAGTCTGCCTCTGTGGACTGGTCCGCTTGGCTGGAAGCTCACTCCCTGTTGTAAACCCTTTGCTTAGGAAAAGCCAGATGGGTTTACAAGGTGCTCCTCATCCGGGTCCCAGGAGAGCCCTGCAGTGGCCGAGCGGCCAGCCTCACTGTGAGATGGGTCTCAAGGCGGGCATCCCTCACTGCATCCCGTCCTGACACCCAGCCCGATTGGGAGGGGACGGTGCTCTGCAGTGACTCCAACCTGGACTAGGAAGTTCTGCTGGGGGTCCTGGTGAAGGGGCGACACAGTGCCTGGGGGCCCAAACCAGGCATTGATGGTGATGTCCTCGTCCTCCCCGTCGCCCAGGCAGCAGTAGTCGGGGACGCTGATGTCCTGCTTCAGCTCTGGGATCTGTGGGTGTCAGAGCAGACGTGGAAGGATGAGGCCAGGCCTGTGGGACATGCCAGCCCGGAAGTCAGCTGACAGACACTGTCCTCTCGTGTGACAATACAACTGTCCACGTGTAGGGGCACAGGAAGGTGAAAACAGATGGTTACCAAGGAAAAGTCGTAATTTCAGTTCCAGGTTTCCATGTCCTGTGCATTTTTTTTGTTTTGTTTTCTTTTTAAAAAACCTGATACTAGTGCTTTGTACTTAAAACATAAACCAGGTTTATGTTAAGGAGTTAATTATTTTTTTTATGTTGAAGAGTTAATTATTTTAAAACATCAAGTTAAGGGAAAAACAAAAAGAAAATGGGGTTGACTATCAAATCTGTGTGGGGAAGATTTCCCAAATTTACTAAATGGTGAAACAATGACAACTGACACATTTTAACTGTTAATGTAAAGACCAAATGACTAGGAAACCTACTTGAACCAACTGTGGTAAATGAGGATTAGTGTATAGAATACACACATTATAAGGATCCCAATACATAAAACGAACACAGTCAAAGCACCAAATCGAGGTAATCCAATGAAAATGAATTTGAACAAAGGAAGAGGTTCAGTCCCATGAGCAAAAGGAATCCAAATTAACTGTCATCATTTCCTGCTAATCAAACCAGCAAAGATTGGAAAGGTAAGACCCCAGTGGTGGGGAGGAGGTGGTGCCCTCTCGCAGGGCTGCTGGCGGGCCAAGTGGTAAAACCGTTAAGACAGCAAGCTGTGCTAGGGAAGTCTTCAGAAGTTTCACATTTGTGACTCAGTTGCAAGTGAACTTGTGCTGCACACGTGTGTGTGTGTGGGGGGAGAGGGGGCAGAGACCTCAGGGAGGCTATGATGTGGCCACTCAGGGCGGAGAAAGCAGGCACCAGCGGTGTCTGCTATCACCATGTTTGACCCTACCTCCCACACCCACACCCTCTTGTGGACAGAGCCGTCTCACATTGCTGCCTCGGGACGGACGACAAAGGACACCTATCGCCAAGGCGTGGATTCTTGGCTGCCTCCTTTTAAAAACTGCAGTGGTCACACAGCGTTTGTGTCCACAGCCAGTGATGCCTGAGGAGGTGCTGGGAGGTGCTGTGAGGGGCAGCCCACCTCTGGACATTTTCAGTCCAAGCTCAGCCCAGTTTATGCTCACAGCTAGATTGACCATGATGGCTTTACACCTGTGATCCTTTTAGGGACCAGACCTGTTTCTACTTTATTTCCCAAAGCTTAAGGGCCATCTGCCAGCCCAGGAGGCAGTCTTGGAGGTTCAGGGCCGGGCGGGGCTGCGGTGGTCACCCTGACAGAACCCAACTCCTGACCGATAGCCCTCAGGGCATCTGGATTCCTCCCAAGCCTCTGGGGGACAATCTCTGAACCCAGGGTAGTTTTAACTTTAAGAGATTTTGGGGGACCTCTGTGCTGCCTTACTTGGGTATTTCTACTCCTGGTCTGAAGGGGGACGTGCAGGCAGCCTGCATTGGCCATTTGTTCAGGAGCAGCTCCTGAGCTCAGGCTGCTGGAGCGGGAAGCACTGACCATGAGCCACAGCTGGAATGTTCTATAGGGGCCCCGGGCCCAGACTCCGCCCACATAGACAGAAACGCAGCCCTGGGCTGTGGGGTCCTCAGGCTGCCTCCAAGATCCCAAAAGTCCTCTGGGAACCTCAGTTCCCATGACCAGAGACCAGGATCAAGGATGCATCTCCCCTGGGATTACAGAAGACCTGCCCCTGGAGTGCTGAGAAGCTGACTGGCTTCCAATGACATCATCAGGATTTCTGAAATGTGACTGGTTGACTAGATGGTTATAACCAGAACCACTGGCCAACGACTCAAGAGACCCCAAGAGGAAATGCTCCCAAGATGTGACTGATAGTTGAGGGCAGGCCTAGTATGGTGGCAAAATCTACTAAAACATGGGATCCCTGGGAGGAGGGACAGTAAGAGATTTTGGGTGGGAGCCACTGGGCTTCAAGGGTCGAGGACCATCCTGGAAACCGGCCAGAGACCGGCCAGGAACCCCTCTGCCTTGTGTCCCCACGTGACGCCCCAAGCTGCTCAGACCTTCCAGAGGTGCTCTGAAGACCAAGGTGGCCATGAGGCAAATGTCTTCAAAATAATCGTGAACTTTGCCTTCCTTCTCCTAAACCAGCTTCCTCTAGTTCTAGAGAATTAGAAGATGACTGCTTTAGCACTGGAGCCAAGTTTACCAGTGGCTTCAAGGGTCCCCTGGGAGGATGTGCACCATGTGACTGAGGTCAGGGATCACATAGGAGGGGCCTGATCAATTAGAACCTCCCCTTCTTAGCCTGCTACCCTTGCCTGGCTCCCTGGGAACCCTCCCCCAATTCTGACCATACCTGGACTTCTGACTCCATCCCTGGTGGTCACCTCGATGCTTGTGACCTCCCCGTGCCCCAATGCCCAAGTTCTCAGGCCTGGTGGCCTTGCTTGCTCTCCACCTGCTCTCTAGCTGGATGCTGGCGATGCTCAATGCGCCGCCCTGCTCACTGCAGGGAGCAGACCAGTGGGTGGTGAACGAGACCCTTTGGGGTCACAGCCCAGGAAGAGGGCAGGGGAGGTGAGAGGGTGGAGGACAGAGGAGCGTGGTATCAGACTTACCTGGTCAAAGAGCTGGTGCTGGGCCAGGTACCCGATGTCCTTTGTCTAATCCACAGGAGAAAAAACAGTGGTTACACAGAAAGCCCGTTAGTGCTGACGACACCCTCCACGTGGTCCTGCCCCAGCCTGCGACAGCTACCCAGGAGCCCCTCCTGTAAGGCTCAGGTGGGGTGCAGTGGATGGACGCTGGGGTACCCCTCCCCAATGGAGTTGGGCTTTGGACAGTGTTGACGTAAGGAAGGTTCCTCCAGGATTTCCCGAGAACCTGTGTCTTGCCGTACTCCCTCCTCCACCCCCTTTCCGACAAACATCACTGGGAGTTTATAGAACGTCAGACCCTGTGCTAAGCACTGGGCATAGCCGGATGTGACATGACCGCGCCCCTCCCAGACGTCCTGCCGCAGAGGACACTAACCGCCGACGGTGACTGAGTGCTGCTGAGCACACGGTGCCGACAGCTTCATGTTTCACTCTCGCAAGGACCCTGTGAGGTCGGCGTTAGTAAGCTCTAACCCCAACCAACCCTAACCTATCACAAGTCAGAGCCCTGAGGACCCAAAAGGTTAAGTAAGTAGCCCAGCACACACAGCCAGAAAAGGCCAGTGTGCCTTAGTGCTTCTTCGCCTGAATCCAAAGCCAATTCTGCCCAGATCACAAACTGCCCCTGCTGAGGCCTCTCTCTGGGCAGCAGGCTTCTCCCCAGCAGAGGGCGCTGGCACAGGCTTGCCAGCAGGTTCACTGACAAGCAGAGGTGGACAATGCAGCACCGTGTGCCTCTCGTCCACGGCCCCCTCGTCCAGGCCTGCAGGTGATGGAGCTGAGCAGACAGGGGCAGGGGAGGAGTGCCCAGGAAGCAGGAAAGACGTCTGTGCACCCCGATGGAGGCTGGACGTTTAGGAGTGGCCCCTCAGTTCAGCCAAAATGCTGAGAAGACCAACGGAAGAAGTGGTTAGCCCCATGGTCACTGGCCTGAACACGTGACCAATCCCATCAGAGCTGTACCGTGTCTGTGCCAGCCGACTGCCTGGGGCACAGCCTGCAGGGGGCGTGGACGAGGTGCGAAGCTTTGTTGCTGCTGAAGTCTCACAGACGCGGGTCTGTGCACCTACTCCTTCCCAGCCAACAGACGATCCGGGTAGATAACCTGTAGCCTCTGCAAACATGGCCAGGACAGGAAACACCCCTGCCTGGACTGCTGAGTCTCTGACCTGACAGAGTGCTGCAGCTGCTGTGGGAACAGCCGAGAGCCACAGAAGGCTGAACGCAGTTATATGCAACCCACAATTCCACCATGAGTGTACACCCAGGACACGAAGACATGTCCACACAGAATCTCGTACAGGAATGTCCACAGCAGCACTGGTCACAATCGCCAGGAGTACACACATTCGGATGTCCGTCCACCAGTGAGTGAGCGGGTAAGCAAAATGCTGCACGCACACACGGCAGTGTCACTCGGCTGGGCACCTGCTCCAGCGTGGATGGACCTTGAGCACATGAAGCTCAGGGAGAAGCCAGACCAGGAGGCCACAGTGTGTGACTCTATTCATATGACCCGTCCAGAACAGGTACAGCACAGATGGGAAGCAGATCAATGGTTGCCTGGGGCTGGTGGCCGTGGGGAATCGGGGTGGCCAGTAATTAGTATGAGGTTTCTTCTGCAGTGATGAAAATGTGCAGAATGAGACAGTGGTGATGGGTGCACGATCTCAGAATCCACCCAAAACCACGGAAACACATGACAAAAAGGTTTTTGGAATGGGTCTGTCATGTCATGTCTGCCCACCTGCCTGCCCAGCAGCCTGCCCTCCTCACACTGGCCAGCCTGCTGACCGAAACACTGACCGTTCCAAAACCTTCCAGTGCGACGTATGGTTCTTTGCCCAAATGTAATGTGTTGTCCCCTGTGAGTGTTCAGAGAAAGGACTCAGGGACATACCTCACCCAGGATGTACTTGCCGATGAACTCACTGACCGTCATCAGTCTCTGGGACCATTCCTCATCTGTGTACCTGGAGCCGAGTTCCACGGGGACGGTGCGGCAGCCAGCGACTTCCTGGATGTATTCCACACTGTTAGGAAACACGTGTTGTCACTGTCACCACTACTGCTAACGCTCACTGGACCCTATGGTTAATGTGAGTCACACTGGTTCCCACTCATCACCAGGTGGTCACCTGCCCACCTGGCGCTGTGCAGCTTTGCAGGCAGTGACAAAGCTGCCAGTTGTCACTGGTGGCTCTATTTCCTGCTTGTCAAGAGCCATCCAACTGTGTCTTTGCATGCCTGTCACTAAGCTGAGTAAGTGGCCGACCATATAGTGGTGGTAAGGGGCCTGGGGTCTGGACTCTGGTGGCCTGGCACTGACCAGTGGGTCCTCGGGAAGTTGAGCCCTTGTTTCCCATTTGCAAAGTGGGGGTGATGACTGTGCCTGTCCTGTGGGAACCAGGGAGGATAAAGACAAAGACAACATGGCAGCACCCTTCTTGGCACTGGCATGCAGTCACACACAATGCACACTTGCTGGGACGACTCTTGTGGTCAGTGTCAATGGGAACCACCCCTCTACAAAACCACAACAATACAGGTTGACTCGGCAACCCTCCTTAGACACCGCACCGCCATAGCGCTGCGACCACTCTCTAGCTGCCCGGCCTGACCTCCCCAAGTGTGAGGACAAGGCTACCCAAGGGCCCGGAGGCCCACGGAGTGGGAGGCGGCTGTCTGTTACTCCCACTGGGAAGCCCTGGGACCCCAAGATTCCACAGAATCCCCGAGACCCTGCAAAGCTGCACAAGATACGCTGCTGGGCCACTGCTAGAGCCCTCCCAGGGATGGCAGTGACGTTTTTACATGTCACTGTGTTTACTTGGGGATGGTGAGACAAGCAGTGCAGGGAGCCATTGGGGACACTAAGATGGGAAGGTGAGCCCCGTGGCCCTCAGCAGCCACCCACCTCCACTTCTTCATGCACGGCCAATGGTCAGCCACACCTTCCAAGATCACAGGCCTCTCTGGGACCAAATGATGCTCCCTGAAATACTGCAGGGACGGGCAGTGAAGCCGGGAGATCGCTCTTTCTGACCTCATGTTTGGAACCAAAGCATGCTCTTTCCTGGCTTTCTGTTTAAAAACAAAATGAGAAAATGGCAACCACCGCAGACAGTCAGAAATAGGGGCATTTGCATCAGTGTTAGGCGAGCTGGGGTGTCGTCACTCCCATGATAGTTAGCATGGTTGTCATTACCGCGGCTACTACCACTGCTTGCTTCTCATGACAGCAAGATGCTTTTTCTTTACCAATTCACTTAAAATACTTGTTCAATTATAAAGCAATATGCTGCTGCATAGAAATTCCGCAAGAGAGGAAAACTTCCTCCCCCAAACCCGACCATCTAACAGAAGAGCATTCTTTGTCATGACCGTGTGTTCCTTTCGCACCTTTCCAGCATGCTGGCTCCAGAGTCCGAGCTCTCAGCCCCTCAGCTACCAGCACTGCCCAACACCAGCCACCCCACGGTCAACACCCTGGGCATGAAGCCACCTCCATGTGCCCTCGGGACAGCTTAGCATGGGAAAGGGCACAAGCACCTATCCCTTGATCTACATGTTTGCCCTTCCCTCAGTCAGGTCAACCAACACACCATGTCCTTAGCTCCAAGGCGTTATATAAAACCTCGACAGACAATTTCATAGCCAAAAATGGCTGCCTCACTCTTTTTGCACTTTTTTAAAATTAGGAGGTAACACATTTTCCAACACTTGATTTGACCTGTTTCCTCCTCGTGAACACACCTACCCAGAGCTATCGTGAGGCCTGCGTGTCAGCACTGAATTTGAGTCTCCTCAGGGACCCATGCTCAGCGTCTTAGGGTACCCTCTGGCACGCGTACTTAAATACCAGGAGGGATGCGTGCAAGAATCGAAAGGGGGGATTGACCAGCTGGCCAAGGGAAACTGCATAAGATGGGCTAGTTGGCTGCAGTGGTCACCCACACACTCCCCTTGGACTGTTGCGGGAACCACAAAGCTTCCACCCTTCCTCTCTCCTGAAGGGCACTGCTGCTGCAGAAACTGGAAGAAAAAAAAATAGAGAAAATTCCTAGATGGAGCTGCTCCATTTCCAAACCAAGGGAATATGCTGTTTTTAGCCAGAGAGGTCAGCAGGCCGAGGCCTCACCCCAGGGAGAGCTCACTCGTCACCTCTAGGAAGATAGGACTGTGGGGTAGTGTGAGGTGTGGTCGCTGACAAACCCACCTTTACGCTGGGCTGCTCCTGAGCTGGGCCTGGGCCGGGCCTTTTTCCAGAGAGGTGCTTCTGTAGGATGGCAGCGACTTTAATGAGGATGTCCTCAAGGATGGCTGCCCCCATCAGTAGCCCCATGTCACAGACGTTCAGGGCTGCGGCCACAGTGGTAGCGTCCCCAGGCGCCTCACACAGACACAGGACTTGGAGAAGGCAGCCAAAGGCGTAAACCCGACGCCAGTCTTTGTCCACGTCCTGCCAGGCCCCGGTGTTGAGCTTCTCCCAGGAGTAGTCACGGATGGCCTCGCTTGCCTCCAGACACTCGCTCAGCCTGCCCCCATAGAAGAGGGCGGCGGCTTGCTGCAGCAGCGTCACCGCACTCCTCTCCACTCTCTCACTGAAATCCAGCTTCATTTCTTCTTTAGTGCGGGGCAGGAGTGCCCTCAGGGCCTCCCGGAGAGGGACTGTTCCTACCGGTTCAGTCTGATGAGTGCTGGTGGAGGAGGAGACAAGTTACAGGAAAACAGTATGTCGTGCGCCTGAATACACACAGCTGTGTATTTTCATAAAATAAAACGGAGGCGGGGGAAGCTAGATCTGTGATGACATCCAGTGGCCAAAATGTCAGCCATTGAGATTTAAATTTATACATACATATAATTTATACATATACATATACATACATACATATATATATATATATATATAGGGAGAGAGAGAGAGAGAGAGAGCACACATAGCCTTGGCCCCTGTAGGTTCCCACAGCTTCCTGTACTTGTCCTTTGGAACACACACCTCACCATGATGGTTCTTCAACAGTGGTCTTCTCTGCTAGGCATAAACTCTGTGAGAGCAGGGCCCCCATCGGTCTGGGGTCACCACTGTATCTTTAGGGCTGGCACAATACCAGGCAAGCAGTGGGATAAGCATTTGTTCAGAGAGGAACATGTGTGGTCCTTGTCTGGAATGCCTCCAACGTCCCTCTCTGGCAAACTCCTATCCAACCTTTAAGGCCCACCTTAAATGATCCTCTATGTGGAGCCTACCACAAACATAGGCTTACGTGTCTGTCTCCAATACCAGGGCAAGAACATGTCTCATTTCTCTCCATTTCCCTAGAGCCTGTTACACGCAGTCTGGGTCATAGTAGGCACTTAATTAGATTATTAAACGAATAAGAACTAAAGTTCTCAGGAAGAAACCTAGAATTACGTAACAACTATTCAGAAGGGAAAACACCATACTTGGTGCCATTGATGGCATTAATCTGGGCATTACATATGGATGGCAGGTCAGCCCTTAGGCAGAAGTATTAACTTCCCTGGTGGTCTGATTATGTCAGTAATTTTGTACCCAGAGCGGTCCATTGTTTTGAATGGAAATTTGTTGTTTTATATTGTAGGCCTGTAATTCTTAGGAATTACTCACTTGAATCACTCCAAACAAGAGTCTAGTAGGCATCCCAGGTATGATAAAGTTTGAAACACAAAATCATAAATTATAATAAATAATTATAAAAAATAATATAATTTTATTCAATAATGTAATCAAATAAAAAACACTGCAATTTGTCATCGGCCGGCATTCTCATCGGCGATCACATGAGGACACTGCAGGATCGCAGGGAGCAATAAGGGACTTCTCTGGGACACTGCAGTGTAATCGGAGTGTGGCTTGCGGTTACCGCTTTCTGACAGTGAAAATTAACCTAACCCCGAGCCACACTCGGGGTTACCGCTTCTGGCACTGAAAATTAACCCCAAGCCACACTCGGGGTTACCGTCAGGGTAGTTAAGTTCTGCTCACAGTTATGATTATAGATAGCACTTAATGACTGGACAAGTCAAGCAGGTTATTCCAGGCAAATTGAGACCTACGGTCTACCTGGTTATAGGCCATATGCGAAAGTCTGAGTGGCCTTAGCACTCACTGTCAGGTTAGATATTAGCCTTAAAAGGCCTGTTACTGGTCCCAGAAGGCTTTTTTTAAAGGTGGTGAGGGTGCAGATGTCAGGTATAGAAACAGCCCTGTGGTCTTATCTCCCGGCGTTGTGCAAGGACCTTCCAGGGTGCCGCGCAACAGCTTTCAGGGGAAGGTCCGGTTCTGCATAAAGCAGCTTTTCTCAGCGGCCGTGTCTCAACCGCTCACAGGAAAGTCTGTTTGTTGGGCCGTCTTGCAGAGGGGGTCAGACACAGGCAGGATGAGCTGCCCTCTGGGTGCCTTGTCTTGGCTTCCAGGGCAGCCTACTGCAAACTTCATCAAAGCCTTCTTACCGGTCCCTTGAGACACAAAGGGGCCAAGTCCGGGGTGTACCTTCAGCCCAGAGGGCTTCAGGTCCTGACTTCACAAACTCAGCTTCCAGGCAGAGACGCACGGGAGGCGGCCTTGGGGTGGGGTTAGTGAAAGCCCGAGTGGGCTCCTTCTGGGTCGGAGGAAGCCTTTTCTGGGAGGCCAGCCGTCACCCCAGAATTCTCTTCTCTCTGAAGAGCTAAAGCACCTCCCAGAGTGGTGTTCACGACGCTGGCTAGGCAACACGACTTTCTCGGAGGGTGTGGGCTGGGCCGCATCACACAGCCCGGGGGCCCGCGGGGCGCCAGGATGGCCTGGAACAGCCCTGTTCCAGGAGCCGCTGGTCAGGGGACGCCTTCCACGCCGGCTTTCCGGGGCAGGCTGCCCAGGTCGTTTTGCAAGTTGTTCGGCTTTATGACGACGCTGCCTCGCAGACGCCGCGGAAACGAGACCCCCGTGAAGCCTTCCAGAAGGCTGAACCCACCGGCACGGGCCCCGGCCGATGCGGCCTCCACACCCCGCCCTCCCGGCCTCCGGCGTGGCGGTGACCCGAGCGCGCCGACCTACCTCTGCTGCATCCTGCGGGGCACAGCGCGTGCGGACGGTCAGCGGTCACTCCTGCCGAGCGTGCAAGTCCCGAGCTCGGGCTCCCTCCGGGCGGCAGTGCCCACGCCGCTCTCCACGCCGAGGCCTCACACCCCCTCCCTCCACGGCGCCTCCCCGCGGGCTTCATTGCTGGCCGCCCACATCCGGAACCCGACGGCTCAAGCGTTTGCTGTCGGCCTAACTCCAGGCTGATGACAGCCCTGGACCGACAGCCAGCAGCCACCCGCCGGTCCCGTGACGCGAGAAACAAAAAGGCCGCACAAGAACACTCGGGCGGCACTAACGCGACACCCAGAACTGCGCAGGCGCGCAACAGCCTTGGCGGCACGCATGCGCAAAACGAAATCGGACCTAAATCCACTACGCATGCGCAAGCGTTGTACCCTGGCAGCGCAGTCAAGTTGGAGCGCGGCGAACCGGCCTTCTCAGAGCGCATGCGCTGGCTCTGTCCGGTCGCTCCGCTTTTTCGGGCCTCCAGGGCCTTCGCGAGAGGCCGTCGTTTCTGGCTTCGCGTCTTACCACGACGCCTGCGCAGTCCTCCCCTCTGCGTCTAAGACCTGAGTAGAGCCTGCGCTCTCGTGTTGCTCAAACTAACTGTATTCAGATTTCCTTGATTTTAACATAATGTCCTTTTTCTGCCCTAGGATTCCACCCAGAAAGACATATAGTTGTCACTTGTCCTGAGAACCCCTTGGCTGTTTCTCAGACGTCCCTGGTTACTGATGACATTGACAGTTGTGAGGAGTGCGAGTGAGGCATTTTGTAGAATGCCTCTAAATTGGGATTTTGCTGATGTTTTCCTCATTAGGCTGGGGTCGTGGGTTTGAGGTGAGAAGACCCAGAGGTGACGTGCTCTCATCAGATCATATTAAGGGTACAGTCCACCAGCGTGACTGTTCACTGTTGCTGTTAATATTGATCACGTGGCGGGTGTGGTTGGCAGGGCTCTCCACTGTGACATCACTCCCTCTTTCTTTACGCTGTGTTTTCTGGAAGGAAACCATGCACACTTGGAATGAGGAGTTATGCTCCCTCCCTGAGGGCAGGGCAGCCACAGAATTACTTGCGTTCCACATGAGACATTTGCCTATTTTCGCGTTTGTTTATTTATGTAATCATTGATTTATATCAGTGTTTACTCATGGTTGTTTTATACTTTGGCTTCTAATCCAGTGGCATGTTACAATATTTTATTGATTGAATTGTTCCTGCTGTGGGAGCTCTTTCAGTTTGGCTCTGCTTCCCCCCCCCCCCCCCCGTGCGTGTGTGTGTGTGTGTGTGTGTGTGTGTGTGTGTGTGTGTGTGTGTGTGTGTTTCCCCAGTCTGGAATCCGCTGCTTCTCCAAGGAGCCCTGGTCCCTGTTATTAGAGGACAGTATTCAAGACCCAGACCTGGCACCAGGTGGGCTTCTTGCAACTGGCTTGTATCTCAGAAGTCATGGGTTTCACTTCCTCTGCAACCTCAGGCCCACTCGGAACCAAGGGGAGAGAACACGGGCTCCTGTACCTCGTGGTAGAGGTCTGTCATGGTCACATTGTGAGCGCTTATGAGATGGGACATTGGTGTCATCATCTTTGCCAAACAGCAACAGTATCACTGTCACATGAGTGACACTGTTGTGCACCAAGGTCCTATGTCACTTAAATGTCCTTCCTCCCTGTCAGAGAAGCTCCATAGTTTGGTTTTTCTTGACGATGATTTCAGTTGATTCAGGGACAGACATCAGTGACATTGAGTCACATTGTGACAATCATTGCCTCCCGAGTTCTCACCTTGTCCTTTTGTTGGAGTCCAGAATACAGTCTCAGTTTGGTGCACAGACGTCTTTACTACTTTATAACATTTGATAATTTCTTGTTTAATGCTCTGGCTCAAAGCTTTCTTACAACACGGCCTTGTGGGTCTAATTTAATCATATCATCTCACTGTTTATCGGAGTGCATGCGCATCCCCACATTTCCCATGCCCTTTGCCGTTAGGCTGGGCCAAGTGACTGCAGGAAGCCAGCCCACATCGCACAGGCAGCATTCGTCATGTTAAACCTTTGGACTCCGGGATCCACTGTTACTGCTGCATTGCCTGACCTTTCTTGACTAATACGCCTTTTAAGTAGGGCCAGTGACATTGGATTTTTCATTTACATAATGGTACAAAATTTACCCCCCAAAAGTGAGCTGGTTCAAAGAAAAACAGGTGAATAATTTCCTAGGTCATGCTCAGACATGGTGAAAATCCTCAGGGCAGGGACTCAAGTGATGACCATTTGGGGAAATTACTGCCACTGTGTCCTCATCTTGTTCTCTGCACGGGGTCTCTGGCCTGTGTTGGGATTGGCCAGAACATAAATTTCTGTGAATTCCCACTTTTTCCCATGGTTTAAACAACAGTCACCAAAGTCTCTTCATTAAAGCTTATTACTCAGAGATTACCTGGAAAGATCTGAGTTTTCTACTTGATTTTAGAGCCGAATGGCTTGCCTTTGCTGTAGTGTTCCCCACTGCAGGATTCAAGGGTGTGAGAGAGCTTTCAGGTCCTTCTGTTCATGGGCTGCTACTTGAAGGCAGAAGCAAAGATTTTGTGACTCACAGTGAGGGACCACCCAGCATGGAAGCCAGGAGGGAAAGGTGGGGCGTCGTTCCACTCAGCGCCCAGAGCGGGCATGTGCCAATGAATGAGTGACTGGGTCTTGGCACCGTGACTTGCGTGTTGGAAACTGCTAAAATGTTCACAGACTCGACTTTGTCTCTTCAAGTTATACGTAGTAAGTGCAGATTTAGGTCACTGTATGTTTTATTTTACTGTAATGATTTTAATTTTGGGGGGAAGTTGTGTGCAGCTTCCCAGTTCTCTAGGGCTGGTCTGATATGAGGCAAACTGGGATTTTAAGATGCCATGTGATTAGCTTATTATCAGAGGCTTTCTTGGGATTGCAAGCACAGGCAGCATTAGCTTTTTAGTGTGAACCCTATTGCTTTCATTTATTCCTTTCTTTCTCCCTCTCCCTCTTTTGAGCAAGTCTCAGTTTCCTCATCTGTAAAATAGAAATAATAACAATATCCATGAGAGTTTTTACGAGAAGTAAAGAAGATACAGATACGAGGTATTTGGCCCAGTCTTTGACCCATAGTAAGTGTTCAATAAATGATAGCTGGTATTATTATCAGCTGTGTGTCTTTATCAGGTTACTTAATCTTTCTGGACCTCAGTTTCTCCATCTGAAAAAGGGGCTCATGCCATTCATTACACCAGATTGTTGTGATGTCTGAAGGAGATAATAAGAGATTATTTTTATTATGTACTCAATGAATGAATGAGTTCTGGGACTCATGTGTTCGTCAGGGTAGGGTCCCTACAGTAACTAACTGCCCCCAGATTTGGCCTGACAGAGGAGTGTATTTTGCCTTCATCGTGTCCCAATATGTTTGCTGAGGAAGCTCTGATCCACGTGGTCATTCAGGGGCACACACTCTGCAGGGGCCTCAAGTCCTCTTTCTCTGGCCCCTGGGTGGGAACGATGATGTTGGATCTCATGTGGGAGATGTTTATGGGCCAGGTCTGGCATGGTCACTTCTCTTCTGGTTCCAGTGGCCTCTTGGTACAAATGTGGCCACAGGGGAGGCGGGAAGATGGTCTAGCTGTGCGCCCAGGACAGCAAAGAGGAGGCTACCACAGCCTGCATTGCTGTTCCTAGACACCACAAAGTGAGGGTTGCCAACTGTTTCTGAGACTCACAGAATAATAACGAATGAGTTTGACTTGATGTCATAACAGGTTGAAAAGGCACAAAGGAGAGAAGCATGTCCAGAAGAGTGATGGAGCCTCATAGTGGGTCCATGACCCGCGCCCCCTCCACTCCCATCCCCCAGGCCTTGACCATTTGCTCCTTTAGAATTTATTAGTGAGCTCTGCCATTGTTTTTCTGATTTCATTAAAAATGTCACCAGGACACATGCTTCACAGTATGCCACTTCAGTCCTAAGTGGGGCATTTTTGCTAGATGGATCGATTTTTCTAAATGACAGCATCTGTTTGCTTATACACATTTATTTGTAATTCTTCCCTTGGCAGTTTGAGCGAGGGATCGGTGAATGGGAACCAGCTGTTTGAATTAGTGGGGACAGGAGGCAGTGATTTGATCTGTGAAGGAGTAGCAAAGCCCTGACCAGAAGCAATGAAAACAGAGCAGATGCCCCCCGATACAGAATCCTGGGGTGGGGCAGCTTGTAAATCACGTACACGGCCAGCTCCAGAGAGGCAGCTGAGCTGGGTGAGGTGGCAATGCTGTGACAGTAGGTGGCTGTGCCTGGCCCTTCCTGGGACTCGACAGAGCAGGTGGATGTGTGGGGGAGGGCAGTGGGGTAGCTGGGGGGAGTGGACCTCCACGGGTTGGTCCCTCTGATGAGCCCCCATTTCAGTTAGGGTGCAACGGAAAGCACTAATCATGGTGCACAGGCCCTGCCGGTGGCATGGACACGTCACCCCTGTCCTCACTTCCTCCTGCTCTCCGCCTACATCACTGGGTCTGCCCGTGCGGGGTGCTCCCCTGGGACCCTCCAAACTCAAGCCTGCCTGCCTGGGGCTCTGCTCCCATCTGCTCCCTGCAGGTTCACTGTCACCTCTTTCAGACCTGAGCTCCAGTGTCACTTCCCAAAACCCGCCAGTTAGCACTGCAGCTGGAGCAGGCCTCTACTCCTCTGTTTCATTTCTCCCTAGCACTCAACCTTTCTAACACAACACACATTTGGAAAAGGGTCATTTTCTGTCTGCTCCTTGGAACCTTCATGATGGCAGGGACCTCATCTGACTTGTTCAGTGCTGAATTGTGCCTGGCAGGTGGTAGGTACTTAGTAAATGTTTGCTGACTCAATGAAAGGGATTTTTCATTTGGGGAACACTTTTCCCTTTTTTACCCTCCCTCTGCAACTTCAGGGGTGTTTCACAGAAAGCCCAGGTCATGTAGGTTGGTTCCCTGGGGACACAGACCCTGTATTCCTGATCTCTGCAGCTCCCTGGGGTCTAGCCCATTGCCTGGTACACAGTAGGTGTTCAATAAAGAGATGACAGAATGACCCAAGTTGACACTTGATGCTCAAGGCAAAAACAAGACATCCTGCAGATTCCTTCTTTTATTCCTTGCCCAGCAGCACCTCAAATATGCATTCATCAAGCCCCAGGCTCCAGTGCCTCGGTCAGTACCTGCTCTGAGCAGCCATCACCGCACATGGACGCAGCAGGCAACAGGCAACCTCTCCTAACCCTTCCTGGCGGTGAATCTTGCGCCCCCTACAGTCTGTCCTCCCCTCAGCAG